AAAAAAAAAAAAAAAAAAAAAAAAAAAAAGCTTATACTAATGTAATTTTTAATAAAGAAAAATATATATATATATTTAACTAATATAAACATGAAAATAAATTTTCATAATTTAGTTAAACACAAAAAAAAAAAAAAAATACATTAATATATATATATATATAAAAATTAAAATGGGCATATATATTCCTTAAAAATATGTATAAAATAAAAAAAAAATTTTTGTAAAGTTAAATATATATATTTAAAATGGTATACTTCCTATCAAATTTAAGAATAGAAAAATCCAAAAGTTTTCAGAAAGAATTAAATCACGAAAAAATCTTCTCATTCTTAAATTATAATAGTTAAAATTTATGTAATTTACATTTTCATGATTTAATTTAGTATTAAAAGGAGAAAATAACAGCAAAAAAAAACTATCAGGTTTATCATTTTGGAAAAATTTTCTTAATTCTCCATCAAAATTTTTATATAAATTATAAACTTTAGATATTATTTCTGCAGAAAGATGTATATTATTATTATTTATTAATATGGAGTGAGAATTATTTGTTCCTTTATGATAACAATATATTATTTTAGTATATAAATCCCACAATGTAGAAGATATAATAGATAAATAATAAAATTCTTTTACAATAAAATGTAGAATGAGTGAAATATCTAACCATTTCAAATTATTCATATAACCTGAATCAATTTTTATTTTTTTTTTTTCTGAAGAAAATTGAAAAAAATTTTCATCTTTATTTTTACATTTGGACTCACAAAAATCCTTAACACACATTAAATCTTCATAAATTTTCTCATAAGTAATTTCCATTAAATCTCTTGATTTAAATGAAGAAGATTCATATTCACCTGAATCAATACGACATTTCTTTAAATAATCATAATTTTCTTTTACAATAATTGAAAAAAAATTAGTGTAATTATCCCAGAAAAAATTATTTAAATAATGTAATATATTAGAACAATTATATTGAATGACATTATAAAAATGTAAACTATATTTCCCTTTCTTATAATATAATTTAAAATTTCCTTTATTAGTATTTTGTACTTTTTTATACATATTAATTTGTTCATGAATTATTTCTAATGTTTCATTTTTTTTGTTATTATAAGAAGGGGGATATGAACTTTTATATATAATATCGTAATTTTCTTTTATATTTAAACATTTTTCTCTAAAAAATAGTATAAGGTTTTTACTATGTAAATTTATAATTCTTTCTTTTTCTTTTTGAGGTAAGTTATTTATATCTCTCAAATAATTAATTTTTAGAAAATCTTCATATTTTTCTGCATTTTTTAATTCATCAGTGTCCGTTATATTCTTCATTACGTAATGTATAAAACTAAAATATGATAAGAACATGTTATAAATATATAAATTTTCTTCACTAAATTCTCTATAAGCTGTAAGGGAAGGATGAAATTCAGTGGAATCTTTTTTACCTCCTAATATATTCAATTCAGCTTTTACTTTATTTTTTTCTTTATATAAAGTGTCATCATTTTGATTTTTCTTTTTTTTTATAGGATCATAACCCAATAATATTTGTACATTTATATTATTTATATTGGTTTTTTTATTCAAGTTATATAAATCTATATTTGTTTTAATTAAGAAAAAACCTGCTGCTTTATAGCTATCTATTGTTGATTGAGAAAAATCTTCAGATATTTCATCATAAAGATTCATATTTTTAACTCCCAATTTATTACTTCTTTTATTTATAAAATGATTTTTTATGCTATTTTGTTTTTCACTTAATATTATATTGCTATTGATATTCCTAAAATTTGTTGAAATAAATTTATTTGAATTTAAATATCTATTGCGATTGTGATGATACTTATTTTTTTGTAGAAATATTTTTCCTCTTATATATTTCTTTTTATTTAGATAAACACTTTGACTAAAACTCATAATTTTATTTGCATATCTACTATTTTTTTTTTTTTTTTTTTTTTGGTG